AGGATGGTTGAGAGCTGAAGAATTAACCCTTTGGTCACAGTGACTATGTTACAGATGTTGTAGTTAAGAACCAATCTCTTATTTTGCAACTTTGTATCCTATAAATAATGATATGTTCATCTGAAAGCTCTTCAGTTCACTTGCTTTTTATTTATTCTTTCTATAACTGCAGATGTATAGCAGCTAGTCAGAAATATCTGTGTTGGGTTATGCTTACATCTAACACCATGTTCTTTTTCACTTTTTAAGGAGGTATGAAACTTATTACAACTAATAACTCCATTTAAAAAAAAAAAACCAAAACCAAACAACAATCTAACAAGAGATATAATTCATGAAATTTAAGGAATGATAAACAGATGAATTAAATTGTATATGTTCAGCTATGAAATCTAGAAACCTTCATCATCCATATATGTATGTTCCTATCTTTCTTTCCAGGCAAATATGGAGCATTCTGAGATGTTTTAAAAATCACAACCATTATTATTAACTAAATTCTATAGTGGGAGATGGAAAAATGTGGGAAACTAACTTTGAGAAATATATTTTTGGTAAGAAATATATTTTATTGTGTCGTATTCTGCCCTTACATCAAGAAGCTCCTTACTCCACAGGCATTCCTGAAATCAGTAGTTCTGAACATTCTGTAGGTTAAAAGTCCATTTATTAAAATAGGATTTAGTCCTAAATATCTGCTCTTTCAAGATATTGATGCAATTCGGTAAATATTTAAAACTGGAAAAATTTCTTGAGAAATAACAAAGCTAGAAACTGGAGTCAACTTTTCGAAGTGTTCCTTAAACAACTCTGTCCTAAAAAAAAAAAAAAAAAAAAAAGTCCTAAGATTGTAATGAGACATTACATACAAAAATAACCTCTGAGACAGTCATGACACTTATGGTCATTGTAATTTTAGGAGCAGGATGCTCTAGTGGATAGAGCTCTAGCCTGTAGAAGTGATAATCTACACAGTCCTTGATCACAAATTTGGGATTTGGGCTTTTGTACTGGATGTCTGTGATGAGGTTTTGGAAGCAGGAGGGCTGCAAGGGTGGCATCTGTGAATGGAGTTCAGAGGCTGCCCGTTCCAGGCACAGTCGGTTCCACCCGGCTCCAACGGACCCATCAGAAGACACTGCTGAGTGTGTGGTGCCCCTGATAAAACATACTTAAGAAAGTGAAAATATGGTGGAGAGTCAGAAAGGAGGAGAGGGAAAAGTGAGAATCCAATACAAACACCCAGGTTAGAGAAAAATGAATAGGAGGTGGTAAGGAGGCACTGGGAGCAGAGACTCTGCTTGCAGCCCATGGAGAGGAGCACACTGGAGAAGATATACACAGTTCAGTCTACAGTGAAGTCCCTGTTGGAGCAGGTGGATATTTACTGAAGGAACTTCAGCCCGTGTAGGGGCTACACTAGAAGGAAGTTTTTTCCTGAAGTGGAAACTTCCTGAAGGAAGTTTTTTCTTACAGTGGAGAAGACCCACATTTTTTCCATGGGAAAAATGTGAGAAGGAACAAGCAGATGGGAGGAACAGCTACATACTAACCATAACCCACATCCCCTGAGCTTTTTGCACAGCTTAGAGAATGCTGGGTAGAAGAACTAGAAATGGAAGATTGAAGTGGAGACTGGAAAAAAAGAGACAGGTAGGGGAAGAAGTTCTGTTCTAGGTTCTGGTTATGTTTCTCACTGTCCAAATCTACTTTAGTTTGGAAATCAAATAATAATCTCCAAATCGAGTCTGCTTTGCCTGTGATGGTATATGGTAAATGATCTCCCTGACTTTATTTCATCTTATTTCATCTTATATGAAATCATTATATTAATAATTTTATATCGTCATTTTCTCTCCTCCTTGTTTAGGAGAGTTGGTAAATATGTCTAAGCCAGCAAAGATTACCACTCACTTGTCATAATCAAAAAACTTCATTTGAATGCATCACCTTGTTCATACTACAGTTAGGGCCTCTTAAAAATGCTGACAGAACTTAGAGCATATAAATAAATTAATTTGAAGCACATTGTAGTATTTATAAGCTGTAAGTCACAGAGGTATTACAGCACTTTTTTTTTCAAACTAGGCCTTAACCAAAAAATCAGATAACTATCAGAAAGTCAAAAAACCTGTTCAGGATAGATTTTTGTTTTCAGTTTCAATCTACTCAGAAAAAAAGAGATTTCAAATAAATATAAAGAAATAAAAAGTTACCAGAGCTTATTTTAAGAGGCAGTTGAAAATGGCTCCAGTATAAATTCAGAAATACAACCTGAGCAGAAGACTGAAATAGGCACTTTTTCTTTTAAGACTGAATCCTGACTGAAAGAAAGAAAGCCTCTATAAAGACACTGCAGGAGAATATCTATGGGTCTTTATATCTGATATATTTGATATATCAGATATTTAGATACTTAGATACTTACCTTCTCATATTTGAATTTATGTCTTCATTTCATGTTTTTAAAAGGTGTTCTTATTAAAAATAAGTTCTATACTGCAATGTAGGATGGATCACTAACAAAATCAAACAGCATAAAAGAAGAAATATAAGGAAATTATTTACTGTGGATCATATTTGAGGTAGAGCAGCCTTCCTTAGATAAAAAGTTGGTATAGTTATCTGTGTTACAAAGATTGACAGTACTATTTCAGTAAAGTTTATTGTTCATACTAGACCATTACAAAATGTGGTAAGAGATAGAACAAATTTTATTTTGAAGTTGACTTTTTGTGCTTAGAGCATGTGATGAGGGACAATGTTCTGACAGTTCAAGCTTACTCAAGCTTGATGACTGATCTAAATTGGAGCTTGGAGATAAGAGAAATTCTTCAGTGATGCCTCAGTTGTCATTGATTGCTATGAGCAATTTTAAAGCTATTCAGGATGAGAATTGGCAGCTTGGTTCTGAAAAAGGAGAAAATGGTACATATGACTGTAAGCTGGCACAAATGCTACTGCATTAAAAGAAAAAAAAAGGAAGGAAAAGGGAAAAGGTTTATATTACTTGTATATGTAAAGTAATAATCACAACTACATAACTTATAGCATTATACATCATCAGGGAATGACATAGTGAATTTACAGGGTACAATGTAAACAATAGGTGTGACAAGAAAGACAAAAATGAAAGGCTGGGTATATTACAAATAGCAGCAGCAGCAAGATGACTGAAAACAAAATGTTCTAAGCTAAAGACAATAAAGAAGTCAAGTGCAGAGCAGAAGCTTCTCTTCTGAGTGTTGATTTCAGAAAGTATTTCTCTCTGATAAAATTATCCCTATTTTTCCACATAGCACAATGTATTTTCCATCTAAATTACTATCATTAGAGCACCAAGTATTCAAGACAACTAATGTGTTCAATCATAATAAGAACAGAGGCTTGTGTTTGGGTGCAAAAAGGCTATAACTGTTCTGCTCTTTCAGAAGTTTTGGGAGTAGTGTATATCTTTAGTATTGCTGTGTCTTCTGAAAAGCTCACTTCAAATTCAAAAAGCTGTCTCTTGAGCAGTATATACAGAGCCAGTGGGCATACTTAAGTGCATTGGTTTCACATAGCAAGGAACATCCTTCAGCAATATTTGTGTCTCACTGCGGCTTACAGTCTTGTTCACACTGCAGATTTGGTCTTCAGAGAATCTTGAGAACAGCCTTCAAAAGACAATGTAAGTTGTTACACTAGTTCTGCACAGCCAGGTTTTGGTAGCAGGGGGCTACAGGGGTGACTCCTGTGAGAAGCTGCCAGAAGCTCCCTCCATGTCTGGCAGAGAGGCTGGCTGGCTGGATAAGGCTGGGCAAATCAGAGGTGGTAGTAATGACTTTGTGATAATGTGTTTCAGAAGAAAAAATAAAAGTTATTGCACAGATGTAATTGTGGCCAGCAAAGAACGCAGTGAGAATATGTGAGGGAAACGACTCAGCAGACACCAAGGTCAGTGGAGAAGGTGGTGGAGGATCTGGTCCAGGCCCCAGAGCTGAGATTTCTCTGCAGCCCATGGTGAAGACCATGGTGGAGTAGCTGTCCCCCTGCAGCCCATGGAGGAGAACCCCACCGGCACAGCCCAAAAGAAGGCTGTGAACCCATGGGAAACTTGTGCTGGAGCAGGGTCCTGGCAGGGACCTGTGGACCTGGGGAGAGAGGAGCTAGCACTGGAGCAGGTTCCCTGGTAGGACTTGTGACCCTGTGGGGGACCCACATTGGAGCAGTCTGTGCCACAGTTTGTGGAGAACTGTTGCCTGTGGGATGGACTCACGTGGGAGAAGTTCATGGAGGACTCTTTCCTGTGGGAGGGACTCCACGTATAAGGAGGGGAAAAACTCTTCCCCCTGAGCAGTGGCAGGAACAATGTGTGATGAACTGACCATTACCCCCACTACCCACCTCCCTCTGCCACTGAGGGTGAGTAGGTAGAGCTTGGGAAGGAGGGAGGGTTAGGGGAATCATGTTTTTAAGATTTATTTTACTTCTCATTATCATGCTCTGATTTTGTTAGTAATAAATTCAATTAATATCTCCAGTTTGAGTCTCTTTTGCCCATGACAGTATTTGGGGAGTTATCTCTCTTGGACCTTATCTTAACTCACAAACCTTTGTTATATTTTCTCTCCCCTCTCCAGCTGAGAAGTTATCAAGTGGCTTTGGTGGGTATCTGCCATCCAGCAAGGGTCAAGCCACTACAATCTTCTGTGCTAATGTAAATGTACTGCCTATTTCTTGTGGTATGGAAAAAAAATTTATTGCAGAAAATGGTTTATTGATTAAGAGTTCTGTCTTGTAAACAAGAAAAGTACTGGGCAGAATGGGCTTATTTCTGATAATTTTGTTAGATTTGAGATCAAATATTTAGAATATTATCAGGCTTGAAAGATACCACAGCACAATTTCAAGGAACTTTTTTGACTGCAGTTTATTTTAATATTTATATTAATTCTATATTACATTACTTTGATTAATACAGGTAAACAGTTCTATACCTTATGTATAATAGTCTACAGCTGAAAACACCATACATTTTATCTTTGTTAAAAATGAATTGGTATATTTATATTATTTGAAGATTTCTATAGGAAGTAGGTGTTTATGTGCGCTTATTGGTCTTTTTCGGAGTGAAGATCATATTAGTTTTCTATATCTATCCTTTTTCTGGCTGTAAAGATTTGTACAGCAGTGTTTTATCTCAGAGGTAAATATAATGTCATAGAAAGAGAATAGTTTCCAAAATAGTCCCAAATTGCACAAATACTCTAGTTAAAATAGTCATAAGTTATTGAAATTTATTGAGCTAATTTCTTTAGAAAATCAGTTTTGCTAAAAGAAAAACTCAGGATCTCTGTATATTCTGCATTTATCCTGAAATTTTAATGGTGGATTTTTAGGATGCTGTATTTTTTTGCTGTGCACAGTTTGATCACTCTCCTGTATAGCTACATAAAAGGTCAGTACTGTTTTTTTGAAAATTCTGTGACTTATCCAATTTCAAAAATAGCATGTCCTAATGAGTCCACTGCTTGTTTGCAAATCAAGTCCTATAGATACCTCCTTATCTCTCACTCCATTTACTGTGTGATATTGGACAATTCCAGCTCAAATCTTTGTTTGCCTGTTTTGTCTGTTCTGTGAGAAATCAAATCTTCGAGGAGGATGATTCTGTCTTCTCTCAGACAGAGCAGTAGTGATTATCTTCTTAATTTACCATCTTTGCTATAAATTTACACTTTGGTAACATGTAAATGAAAGGAAAACAATACTCAGAAACCTTTGATAAAGCAATTCCACAAAAACATGGATTTCCCAGATGAAAAAACTGTTCAAATAACTGAACTATCTTACAGGAGATCCACAGGGGCATAACATCAATATTTAGAATCATTTTTGAAAATTAAGGAATTGGTTGAAATGTCAATTTATGATTTATGAACTCTCATGTATTTATTAATAGCAGACATATCCATTTTGGATATGTTACTCATAAGATATATAAATGTTTAAAGGTATTGCATTTTTGAGGTAAAGGAATTCACCTTGTTTTACATTGCTTGTGTTTGAAATGATCCCATTTTGTCTTGAAATACCTAGAAAGAAAAAAAAAGTTCTACTTTGTCATGCATCCCAGTTAGGCCCCTGCTGCTTATTGATACCCACTTTTTTTCTTCTAATTACAATTCAATAACCATAACAGCAATTTTGGTAGGTCTTGAGAATATAGTTAATCTTTTTATTTATTAATTCACTTTATTACTGTGTTTCTCTCTGGTATTCCATTAAGGATAGCTTTGCATATTGTGCTTGAACATACTTGTTTTTCACATTTTGTCACATACTAGATAAAGGAATAGCAAGCATGCACGTTTCCTGCAATAAGTTACCTTCCAGTAACTTTTTACAAAGACATGCAACTTTTTTAGATGCTTTCTGGTTTAAAAGACAGCTGTAGTTTTGGGCTTCCAGAGTGGCCAGATCATTTTTACCTAATTCATATTCTCATCTGGCACAGTACAGACAACCCTTAGCTGACTGTTCTACAGTGTGAAGCTAGTTTATGTGGGTTTGAGGGAATTTTGTTTGATTAGATTTGGGAATTTTGTTTGATTAGGTTTGGGATTTTTTGTATGGTTTTTGTTTGTTTGTTTGTCTGTTGGGTTTTTTGTTTGATTGATTTGCGCTGGGTTTCTTGGGGGAATTCTTTACAGAGAGGGTAATCAGGCATTGGAATGGGTTGCTAAGGGAAGTGGTGGATTCTTCATCCCTGGAGGTTTTTAAGATGAGACTGGATGTGGCACTGAGCGTCATAGTCTAGGTAACCATGGTGGTAGTGGATCCAGGGTTGGACTTGATGATCTCAGAGGTCCTTTCCAGCCTGGCTGATTCTATGATTTTATGATTTTGTTGGGTTTGTTGAAGTTTTTTTAAGAATAGGGCTCCTAAGTGTCCTCTTTTACTTATTAGTAGTCATTCTATCTTACTCAGGCTTTTAATGTTTACCTAAATTTTAGATGGCTGCTGAATTAGCTCTTCTGAACTGAACATCTAAATTTTCTACATAATCAGTGAAGTAAAAAAGGTATCTTTAAAGCCTCCTTAAAAAATCATCCTGACTTAGTATCCTAGCCCATGAAAGGACCCACCTTCTGGTGGACCATCTAGAAATCTTAAAACATTTCACACAATTTCACCGAATATTCTGAGTTGGAAAGGATCCACAACAATCATTGAGTCCAGCTCTTACATGAATAGTTCATATGGGGATTGAACTCACAATTTTGGTGTTATTAACATAATTCTCTAACAAACAAAAACATAAGTTAGAACTAGTAAATGTAAATCAGCTTGTACAGTATATAGTATGCAATACATAGTATGCAATACATTTGCTTTTTATAGGTATGTTTTACATAATATATATTTCACATTGTCCTAAAAAGTCAAATTTAAATCCAAAACAGATATTTTTCTGTCATACCCATTATCAAGTACTCCCTCTTTTTTTTCGAACACTAACGAATTTTTCAGCAACTTTTCCCCTCTATCCAATTGACTTTTTCCAAATAAGTCGAAATAATCATTCTATTGCTTCCTTTCTCCTCCTAAACTCGTGTATTTATTTTTTATACAGCAAATTTCAATAAATGCCTTAAAGGAGGAATATTTCCTCTTTATTAATATAGTTAAGAATATACACTTATTAAAAATAAATAGGAAATACTTATTTGGGATGCCAGAGTTGACAAACAAACAATCCGTATTGAGGTGACCTTAAATTCTATGTCTGTTGAGATAAGCAGCTGCATTTTATTTTCATCCATGTACTAAGAAATTTTGATATTCATCTACTGGGACCAAAAATGGAAGAAATAAAACCCTACAGCTATGAGAATAGTTCATAATTATTTTGCAAAAGCTTGTCCTACATTTATGAATAAAAATCTGATTTATAATCCAGATAAATTACTTCTGTAATAACCAGTGGATGTTTTTCTTCCTTTATTCATACAATTAACACAGTTCCCAATTTTTCAGGATTACAAGATATAAACATATTTTGTGATCAAGTACGAGAAACCTCTCCAAACTTATAATCTTACAGTGCCCTACATGTATGCACTTCACAAAACATAGCACAGCAGAATACCATTACAGAGATAGCATAGCATGTTTATCTAAATATTCTCTTTTATCCATAAAACATTTAAATAGCAAAGATAAGTCCCTTTTCTAAAATGAAGAACAGGAATAATGCTCATACAACAAAATAAATCCACCAGAAAAAGTGTTGGAAACAGTAATATGTGTTCTTATCGTATTATGAGGCTAATATAATTTGTTATGCTAAATTTAACTTGAATGTTTCTCATTTATTTTAATTAACACTTGAAAAAGTGTATGCCAAATGACAAGTAATTTATGTAGTTTGAAGGAAAATGTGTCATACAATTGCCTAACACTGTCTTAATCTCACCCTTGCTCTCTCTCAGTCTCCCTTTTTTTTCCCTTTTTTTTTTTTTTAACATTTGGGAGGAAAAACTGAGGTTTACAGTTTTTACAGTTGCAGAAAGTTGTAATGTCTGTTGTAGGTGGGAGAGGAAGGTTTAGACAAAATCTACTAAAAAGCTCTGCTCTTGAGTAACCAAGTGCAGAAAGGACTGCCTTGTTTTCTTAACCCTTTCTCAGAGAGGAGTCTAGGCGAGACTGTATCCGATCTTAGCCTCAGATTATGTCAGTGGTTTAAACTTAAGGAATGACTGAACCACTTTTGCCCAACAGATTTTAATGATTGGAAAGATCAGAATGCTTATATAAAATGAACATTTTGTTATTACAAATTATCAGATAAAAGATCTTGATCAGAACAATTTACTATACAATATAAAAGCTAAAAATCTACTACTAGACCATAATATAGCATAAAGTAGTACAGTGCACTGTAACAAAGCAATTATTGAAGCAGTTATATTAAAGCTAGCAAAAAGAAATAATTATTAAGTAGAGATTTGATGTAACTCACCCATATCAATGCTCATGAGGAGATCTCTTTCTCTCAGCCTTGAGGAGTAACCTTGGAGGGCATACCCAGCCAAGGGAGGAATCTCCATTCATACACTCCAAGGGTTATGTCAGAAGAAGCTGGGGGACTGGACTGCTAGTCCAGCTATCATCTTATCAAAAGTCAAATCAGACTGCAAAAGCAAGGTGTGTATTCGAAGTCTGGTGAACCAGTATGGTTTCAGCATAATTAACACCAAGACAACACCTTGGCTTCTGCGGTTGAACTTGCATAGTGGCTTGCATGATAGCTCGATTGGATTTTAGGTCTTATCAGAGTGAGTCTATCCTGCCACAATGTCTAAGGACAAATCCAAACTTCAGATTCCTGGGCCATGTGAAGTCTCTTTTGAAATCTCCCATTGACTAGGAATGCTTACCATGGATATGTTGTCTCTTACAGCAAAACAATGGGTTTAAAAAAAATTTCAAAGTATTATTCAAGCTGTGTGATTTTCTATGAGATTGTTATTTATCAAAAAGCACAGTATGGTAGGACTATTCTATTTTACACAGGTGTTTGCATATCAAAGTATTCCCTGTGTATTGCTTCTGGGAGGGTAGTAAGAAATGAGACTTTTTTTTTCTGTTTCTCTTGTTTGTGGAAGGAGACAAGAGTGTTTCTGTTTGATTTTGGTAGTGTGTTTTTGTTTGTGTGTTTGTTTATTTTCACTAGGTTTTTTTGTTGTTGGGGTTTTTGTTGTGGTATATTTTGTTGTGGGGTTTTTCTTAATTTTCTTTACATCAGTCATTTAACTTACTTGGAAAATACTGACAGCAGTGCAACTTGCAGTTAAGCTTGACTGTATTGATAGTCCTTTGTTCTATGAGAAAATAATACCTTAATTAGGATCTGTCCTACAAAGATACGCTTTATCCTTGCTAGAGATAAGCTTGTATGTCACAGCTGTTGGAAACTCCGAGTACTTTTGTTACTATATTGATCTTTGATTTTGAAATCCATGTAAAGTCAGTGCTGGGAAAGAAGGTAGGCTTCATATTGTTCTTTTGGATCACCTTCAGGAAAAAACTGTGGTCGTTCCATGAAGAATGTACTGGTTGTGTTCACAGTGCTTTCATCACTGTAGTCACACTACTTGGCAGTTGCCTCTGGAACCCATGTAGTACCCTGTGATCTAAATAATTTTGTGTGAAGAAGGAAGGAGACCCAGGAGCAAAATATCATGAGTAGTGGGGAAATTTCAGAAAAAAAAGCTAGAAAAAAAACTAAGCAAGGAATAAAACTGAGGATATGGAAAGTTGTATCCCTCGGGGCATTCACTGAAGTTAAAATTTTCCAAACACACTGAATCTCTCCAAGCCAACCAAGAGCTGGTAAAGAGATTAATGACAAAAGCCAAATGATTGACTTCCAGAATGAAGCATTGTGGGTGCTACTGTAGAAGAGTTCAACATCAACAAGGAGGTCCACCTATGATGCTCCTAAACTACTGATAGCCTCAGAGGGATCTCATCTTCATTCAGTCTGTATTACTGGTACCCAGGTCAGGGCTGGCCAGTTTAAGTAGAGCTGATCGTGGTGGCAGACCCAGAATGAATATGCGGTAGGCCCCAGATACATAATTAGCTTTTGTTTTCTCTCTGATAGTAAAAATAAATAGCCAAATGAACCTATAAACCTATATTTCTAATAAAAAAAAGTACACATCTGACATCATTAAAATCAATAATCTGTTAGGAGCTTGTAAGATCCTACTTCAAAGTGTTCTGTCCCTTATAAAACAAAGGTTATTTCTGAGTGATACTGTAACCATGAAATAATGCAGATTTCTGCAAATTTCAAGCAAAGTCTAATAAAAATATCCAGGAATGCACAGGTTCAAAAAAGATTATATAAAAGCAGAACAATAATTTTTGGCTTTTTTGAGTGTTCTAATAGTTTTGAATTTAATTTTAAGATTTAAATTTCTTATAAAGAAAACATAATACTTCTTTGACTGGACTTTATTTAAATGCCACTTCACTCTAAACTCTTTTAAGTACACATACTATTCAAGAACATTTTACAATACCAAATGTTATTTTATTAAAAATAAAAATCTGCCTACTCTTGCATTTTCTAAAATGAGTTAAGACGTAATATATCGTAGTCCACAATAGCAGATACATAAACCACTCAACAATCTAAGTATCAGCAATGAGAGGGTACTCACTTTTTCCTTTAATTTTCAGTCGCATTCTAAAAGAAAGGACAATTCAAACAGAGAGAAGATTATTTAATATGTCAACAACAAATCTAGCAAAATTCTAACGCAAACTGAAAAGCACTAGTTTCATAATAATTCTACTTTCATTATGTAGTATACATTATATCTATACCCTTGCAGCAGGAGTTATACAACTTTTAGTATGAAATGGAAAAGTAGATCTTGCAGAGTTGTCATATTTCCCCTGCAAACTTGATTAAGGAAGTGGACTTGCAATAACTGGATTCTCATCCTTTGAATGTGCTAGTCTGTATAGCCTTACTGACTCATCAAGAATCACTTGCTGTGCCATGATAAATAAGGGTGTATCACAGTGCCTCCCTGCTGCAGTGAAGAAAGAGAAGAAATGAACCTCTGAGGGTGAAGTGAGGCACAGGGTTTGAAAAAAATGTTACTTACTTTTCCTTTTTCCATACTTTTTCTTACAAATTAAATTTTGTTTCCTGGGCTCCTTATTTAATCAGTGGAGGAATATGTGGTCCTTCAGAAGGATGTTCTGAGCACCTAAGTCAGAACTACAATATCTCACTAAGCCAGATGCTGTGAGTATCCTGCTGAGCAACAATCTTCCTTCCAGGAACAATATATTGTACTGAACTTGGTCCAGACCAGATTGTCTGCTAATGAGTGAGCTCCACCCCAGATATTGTTCCAGTCTTTTTTTTTTTCCCCAAGAAAAGTAGCACGTCATTGCTTAAGTTATACCTATAAGTGAATGCATATTTCAAGACCTCATCAACTGATTGATCCAGTGGCCTGTTCTTATCCTTCCACATTCCACCTACTTGCTTATTCTGTCTCCCATCTCCTAGATCTCTTAGCTGTCTAATTTCTAATTAATGTTTTGCTCCCCAGACTCTCTTTCATTCAGTTATATTAGTTTATCAGTGAGCACCATTTATTTAAGGAAAAAGTAGGGGAGGTAGAGCTTCCAAACTTTATCTCTTTCTTTTTCTTTATATTCTTTAAGAGCAATACTAAAAAAAAAAAAAAAAAAAAAGTGTCTTTTAGTTTAACTTACTCCAGGAAGGCAACTTACAGCAATGCCCATAACAATGTATTCTAACCTATGGCACACACCTCTTTTTTTCTGTTTTCGAGTGACAAATGCTGGATCAGTCACTCCTTATGAGGCATACAGTTAACCCTCTTCTTCTGTAGTATAAATAGTGGTGCGTATCGGGCTTATCCTGCATTTTGCACAGATCAAAAATTTCCATGCATATTAGTGAACATTTTAGATATGTGAGAAGTGAAGAATTTAGTTGCTCAGATAAGTGCAATAAGCACCACTTTTCCTGCTATTTCATGAGGCTTTCAAGGTTATAGGAACTCTCCCATTTTAGGTTTCCATTGAGGCAAAACAGATGATGGGTAATCTGCAGTTTCCAAAATTGAAAGTAAGTTTTTTGTAAAGCACTAATTTTCAAAGTACTGTGATTGGACTGAATGCTATTCTTAAATTAGTTCTTAATTTAATAGACAGTTCATAAGGGAGGGTTTAAAAGAATAAAAAAGATCAGTTGTTAGCTGAAAAACAGAACACAGAGAAAGAAATAGGAACTGAATAAACACCTGAAGACATGGACTTCTAAATGTGCTATATATGGATTTTCTTATTTCTAGTTTTGATTTAAAGCTATCAAGATGACTTTTTTAAGTATAGTTAAAGAAAAGGGATAGAATTGGGATATGTGATAATAGACACACAAGTGTTTTAACAGAGACAAAACTGCAACTATGAAAGCAGTCCAGATCTGGATATAAAGCAATTCAGGATTTAACATATATAAGAATTTCAAATACCATTAATTCAACGTAGTAAAATACATAGGGTGCAAAATAAATTTAATAAGCTCCACAACAAATGTTGGTTCAGAAAAATGAAAAGAACAAAGAAGGCAAATTATCTGAGAAAGAAGGATTCGGTTAAGTAGATTAGCAGGCATTATAACGGAAACTGTTAGTCTTAAAACCTCTTTTTTCTTGTTCTTAACCTATTGTAAACATTGTAAATATGTAAAAACCTATTGTAAACAAATTTGGGACTAAAACTCAAAAACATAATGTCAAACCAAATAGAATAAAGTTACTGAAAAATATTCTGGAAAATTAGGTTGGTGGTAGAAATAAAAATTGCCACACTCCGTAAAGTACAAATGGAAAATAACGAATGCTCAGAAAAGTTTATCTTTTTGTATAGGAAAGTGGTATATCAGACACATTTAAAACAACAAGAATGAGTTTGTATGCCATAAATTTCAAGCTAACTTGAACTTTATTTAGTCCCATACTTCATCCCTGCTCCACTGAAGTCAATTGGAGCTTTGCCCTTGAATCTGACAGCAGCAAGCTAAGACTTTAGGTTTATAAGTTTATATTGTAGATGGCATTATAGCTTGTTTACTCACTGTCTACCAGCAAAACCAACATTGATGCAGTAAACATTCTTAAATTAAATAATTCTTTTCCGGGAGGAGGTGGGGCGGGGGGGAAATATATGTTGTTTCCCTAAATCTGATAAACACTTGGATATTTTGCCACTTTGTCTTTATTTATATGTTCCTAAGATGCCCTGAATAAAATTGAACAGCTTGGCAAACTGCAGTAGCTCAGAATATCCTTTTTACTTTGTTTTTCTCTCGAAAATATCTACCAACACATATTTCAGGGAATAAAGTATACCAACATTGCTGGAATTTCTCCTAATATATAGACACTTTAAAAATACAAAATTAATGTTTATACAGCCACATATTTATGTTTGTGTTTGTGTTGTGTGTGCGCATCCCTAAAAATATACATGCTTGTAAATCTGCATATATTTTTTCTGTATGCCATGGAAAAGTTTTAAGCACTTAGAAAATGTGTAGCAAAGTAGTGTTTCTCCACCTTTTTCGACCACACCTTGCTACCACTAACTTCTGCTCCAGCCCCAGGGTTCATTACTGCCTCCCGGCTTTCTCTTCTTATTTCTTTGCCTCACACTGTTGCTAAATGCTCCAGTAATGTTGGCCAAATGCCCAAATCAATAATCTAAGTTGAACTCTACTGTCATAGTCTAAAGCTATAGGGATGTCTCAGCACTATGCTGTTTAGGGTTCCTGGTTCTCTGTAAACATAACCCACAGTGAGTCAAGATGGTCAATCACAATATCAGGAGTGACTGAGGAGAGATTATCTGTGCTCTAAATCATGTGGTATCTTTTTTGTAACATAATTATACTTCTGTACTGACAAAGATCACACTATTTGACAACCACGTAAAAAGATGCAGGAACAGAAGATATACACATATTTTGTGACCAAAGTATAAGAAGCCTCTTCCTTCTATCCTTGAATAACTCAGCTATAATAATGTTACCATAAACATTAACTACATACAAAGAATTTCAAGAATCTTACTTTTTATATTAAATATAAAATATGTAAATAAACAAACTCTACATTCATTTTAGTGCATACTTTTTCATAATTTCCATAGTTGTGAGAGACTGAAATGGTTAATGGCTTAAACATTGTTAAAATCACTAAAAGGCTTTTGTCCACTGCAGCAAATTGTGCAAAGAAATAACTGCCTACTGAAGCCCACCCCACCCTGAATATCCCTACTAATTTGGAGTGTGAAGGGAACTTGAGATAAGATAAAAGTGGTACTGTTGTCCAATTATCCCAGGAGAAGAATGTATGCAGAAGTGTGAGAGACTGGAATGCTGATGGCTCAAACAATCAAGGTGCAAGCTGTCAATGTGCCAAGTAACCACCCAGGTGCTGAGGGCAGGCACTCCCAACACCTGGAGCTACAAGCTGGGTGTTGAACAAGGTAAGGAAAAAGGCAAATCCTGTGAGGTGGGGTAGTGTTCCTTTGTCCTTACACAAAGGACTCATATAGCTTGCATCTGGGGAAGCATCAGAACAATTCACACATAGCCTAAAGATATTAATCTCTGGTGATGGGCCATAATGCACTCAAAAGCACTGATGTAACAGGCAGCTGTAATGTCCATCTTAGAAGGTGTCAGATTCCTGCAATGTCCTGTGATCCAATATTGCATCATCCAGTATAAAACTCCCCAGCACAGAGGAGGTACTGGGGTATTCCCATCTAGCCGAAGCATCATCATCATGGTTAGGTTTCGCAAAAGAAGATTTGAGAAGGGCTCTACCCACGCTTGCTACAAGCACGCTGATGGCTAAAAAGGCCAATGTGAGATAGACAAGTCCAGTTGCAGAAGGCACAGCAGAAAGACTCCCCAGGTGATATCGACAAGACGTGATTCTTTCTGCGTTGTCTTTTCTCCTCAAGGATGATCCTGTGTGTGTTCTCAAAAGCAGCAGCAGCGTTATAGATGGTGTGTCTCCAGGCCTCCCGATTGGAGGCCAGGGTAGACCAATGGTGGTGATCAATATGGCCAAGGATGAGGGATTGTTTCAGGCAGTTCTTGTATCTCCTCTTCGGGGCAGCCAATGGCAAGTTCCCCATAGAGCACAATCTTCGGTAGGCAGTAGTCCTGCACCCTGGAGACGTGCCCTGCCCAATGCAGCTGTGTTCTCAGCTAAAGCTGAGCCTAAGCATAACAAACTGGCTATGGACTCTGTGTTTCATGGGCTTTTTCCCTCACCACCTTGGGCTTCCCTTGATGGATCCAGACTGCAACCATCATTTTGACAAAACTGGAACCTTCACCACTGAGAAGATCACAAGAAGGTCAATGGGATGCCGTTAGAATCCATGGAGAGGTTATACTTTTCCTACTTAATCTGTTTCTCTGTCACTCCCTTTCTTTCTCCCCGTCCCCCACCCCCCCGTCTTTTTTTCTATTTCTTTCTCTCTCTCTCTACCTCACATTTACTGATAAATAAAATTCTGTACTGTTGACTTCAGCATATGATCTCATTTACACCTTAATTCAGGCAGATGAAAAGAACAAAAAAATGTAAAGAACAAAAGAATATAAAAAATTTAAAGAAT